CTGCTGAAGCGCCGTCCCTGTAAACAGGAGATGGTCTAAATGCCATTTAATCGCCAATTTGCAGAGAAAAGCCAAGGAAAAATTAACTCACCCTAGAGGGGATGCAGCATCCTGGCCAGCAGAAGTAAAATTAATCATTGTCACTTTATACCCGGGGCATTGTCCATTCCCACAAGGTCCAGCACCATCTGCCCTGTGCTGCAGGCTCTGCCTCCCCTGGGAAAGGTTTCCTGCCTCCCACCCCCCCCAGGGGCTCAGCCCGACCCGCTTCTGCTTTTAGAAACGCTTCATTTTTGGTGCACAAGGCCAAGGGCAGTTCCAGGCGCTCCCTTAGGAGCTGGTGCAGATGGGGACGCTGCTCAGCCACCCGTGTGCTCCTTCAGATGCCCTGATTTCTTTGCTAGGGCAGCTGGCAAGACAAGAAAAGCCTCTTGCGTTCCCAACAGGGAAGCGGAAGAAGAAGAACAAAGGCGGTTTCCCGTGAAACGTGGAGGGGGAAACTTCAGAAGCTAAACTGACCCCAGAACTTTATCATGAAATAGGAGGTTTTATGCAACCAGGAGGTTTCATTCCCCCTGGGACTGCTGTGAACATTCCTTTGGGATCCTCCTGGGACTGCTGTGACCATCCCCGCCTCCCTCAGTTTGGCACAGCTCAGATGCTCTGCCCCAGGATGAAGGTGTGAGCTCCCCATCCCACACTGACACCCCTGGAATGGTGGGTGACCCTCTTGCTGCAGGCCTGAGAGCCCTGCTGGGATCCTGCCCTTATGGATTTCCTTACAGAGCCCCCTCCTCCTGCATGTCCCCTCACCCAGGGGCTACAACTCACGCAAGTGTTGGACTCGTTGAGCTGCAGGCAGATGGCTCCGGTGTCACTCACTTCTTTGATGTTGTGGCATGTGATGGGCTGGAAGGGAAACACCCCAGCACTGGGATCAGTGGGCAAGTCCAGCCTCCTCACTGTCCCACAGCCCATGGTTCCCAGCTACAGCCTCACCTTCGGGCTGTCCCTGCCTGGGGACAGTGGCGTGGTGGCACTGGAGATGGGAGGATGCCCGGAGCTGGCAGGAGAGTTCAGCAGAGCCAGAGTGGACCTGAGGGTTTCTGCCATCGTGCTGGGCTGTGTCACTGGGCTCTCAGCTGTGGAGACCCCATGGCTGCTGTTGTCTGGCTCCGAGGGGGTGCCCAGAGGCTGCAGGGGGGCTTGGCTGGGCTGAGGGCTCGTCCTGTCGCTGCTGAGCCCTGGGGAGGTGGGGCTGGATGCCAGGGACCCGGCTGCTGCTGCTGGAAGGAAAGCAAGGAAAGGGGACATGAGAGAGCCCGAGTCCTCCAACACCATCGCGTGGCATCGTGGTGACTGAAGTACAACATTGATTTGTCACAGCCAGCGCCACCAGAACGTGTTATTGGCTGTATAAGAAATGCACATTCGACTTGCTTCAGTTCCTTAATTGCTACATGCACTTCATAACCTGTTCACAAAGGGCTCATTTCCTGCCCTGCAGCACCAGTGTCACCCTGACCCCCCGGCCCAGAGCCTGCAGAGCCCTGTGCTGAGCTCGGGCAGCTCCGGGAGAGGCACCTGCTGCAAAGCCCCTCAGAGCCTGGGCCTCTTAGCACCCCTCACAGGTGCCATTTGCTGAGCAAAGAATAGGTGTGTGGAGATAAAAGATTAATGAGCATTTTGTCCCATCGTCTCTTGGCTGTTTTGGGACACGTCTAAGCTGCCTGTCCTGACAACAGCAGCGTTAGGTGGGATTTTTCTGACAGGAATAAAGCTTTTGCCCATATTATCAGGCTCTTTTTTGAGAACACAACCCATGCATTGACTGTGCAGCTTCTTAGGGCAAGCCTGTGCGATTGATAAATCTGATAATTAATGCAAATTAATTACCAGGAGTCACAGAGGAGTCAGAGGAGTGATCACCAGACACCTCTGGTGTTGGCTGGGCACTGCTGAGGGCTCCAGTGGCTCCGGTGTCTGTCCTGCTGCTGGTGCCTTTCAGCTCAGTGGTCGTTGGGGTGGGGGTGTCTGTGGAGTTCCCAGAAGAGTTGCCTGTGGGCAGAGAAAGAAGTTAAGAGGATGTTGTCACCCCCACCCAACCCCAAGCCCCTCCCTGTCCCCAAGGGTCACCACAGGCTGGGCAGGCAGGCATGAGATGCTTTCACAAATTCACTTTCCTCTTGCCCCAAAAGGACAGGCTGGCCTGGGGCTCCTCTGGGAGAAGCTGAAACACCTTGGCTGGGAGAGGACCAAAATTTGGGGCAGCTTTTGGGGCTCCCTGGAGGTGCTGGAGGAGGATGGGACCTTTTCTGCCCGATCCTCGGGCTCACCCAGGGATGCACAAAGCTCTGCACAAAGCTGGATTTCATAGTAATTCGAGTTTATAATCCTTGGAGGAAAGACTCAGGCCTTGGAAGAGCTCACTTGTGCTCCTCAGGAAAAATAAGTTGGATTTGCAGTTGCAGGCACAATCTCAAAGTAAATAGAAACATTCCCATTGGCTTGGGATCAGCTCTGACTCATGAGCAAAAACATCTTTGGAGGTGAAACAGAATGTTTGGAGGATGGTTTGCTGCTCTAACTTAAAGTTTATATATTGCTTCCTGGTATGTTATAAAGATGATACTTCCAGTTTCTGCTTCTGAAATGAGCTACACGAGTCAGTGCAAACACATTTCTTCCCATTTCTTAACCTTTCCTATTCTTAAGCTCTGTTTCCACTTTTAACAAACAGCTTGACTCTCTACTCCGGGGTTGTTGCTGTTTAAGATTCTTATCCAGACACTAAAGAGAAAAATCATACAAAAACTACGTTGCTTCATTTGTATTTCTGGCCAGGGGAGCCCGAGCTCCAAGAGGAGTTACTTCATCCTTCCAAGCAGCCCTTGGAGATGGAGCAGCACTGACAGGTCCTGACCTGGGCGTCAGGGCCCAGGGCACAGCTCCCCTTCAACAAGCCCTTCTGTGCTGGGCAGTATGATGCACTCCAGCAGTGTCCTGGTAGGAACTTTTCTGCTTCAGGTTTGTTCATACTTTGCTGGATCATGTCCAGAGAACCTGGACGTGGATGAAAAGCAAAGACCGAGACCACCCCGGTTCATTTTGGCAGTGGGTGGCAGCAGGAAAAGCTTATTCTGGAGGGTGCTGGGTGGGGTGCACACCCCATCTCGGCCCCCATCCCATCCCATCCCACCCCCACCAGGCTGCAGCTGCTTTGGGGGGAGCTGGGGGCCCTGCTGAGGGCTGGGTGCAGGTGTCTGGAGCTGAGATTTAGGTTCTGGCACCGCGTTTATTTAAGGGAGAAGTTTCTTCTCTCTCCAAGACAATTCAGTTCCAACTGGTTAAATCACCAAGTTTTTCTGATAAATTTTAACAAATCAAAAGCAGGAGGCATGACTCTGTGCCCAGAATAATGAGGAGCACAAAGCTAAATCCACACTTTGCATATAGCTTTGTGTTTGCAAGGACTTTAGCAGGAAACTTTACATCACCAGAACAATGTAGGGCCTGGGCTTGACCTCCCCAAGTGCCACAGCCACCCAAGCACCTTTGAACTATTCCAGATGTTTGTAAAGCACCAGAGGTATTTCTAATCAAAGTCTTTTCACCACTGAATACCATAAATTGAAGCCTGGATTATTGCTTAATGTAATTTTTGAGAAACCCTGTCACATAGTATTTCTTCTCCCCTTTCTTGTAGCGTGTACAGATACATTTATAGAAAACATGGCTAAGTTTTCTGAAACCTCAGGACTCGTGAGATAAATAATGATCCAGATGTGAGCTGGATAATGCACATGGTGCTCAGCTAAAGTGAGTCATTTGTTGCACCATACGTTTTTACTAGCTTTGTCAATTTGTTAGTATCAAGGGTCTGAGAGCTTAAGCCAAACCATTTATTAACCTCAGAGAATCTTCACCTGGTAGTGCTGGCACAAGCAGTAGCAGAAAGCACAGATCTGTGAAATAGCACTGGACTTCACAGCACCTGTTGTAGCTTTAAAAATAAATGCCTCTGATTTCTAAAGATAATTCAATAGCAGATAATTCAATAGCAGAGCTCAGGAAACCAAATGAAAAAAAAAAAAAAAAAGCAACATTATCAAGGTTGAAGCTGTTGACTTGGTCCAACTGGCTAAGCCAGGACCATGGGAAGCAGAACTTCCACAGGGGCAAAAGACTCACAAAGCAGGAGAAAAGTTTCCATAAGTCCTGCCCTGCTCTGCACCCGCAGCAAAGCAAACCCCAAGGTTTCTGCCCGTCTCGTGCATCCCATGGGGTGGAAGGTGCAACACCCTGGGGTTCCCTGGGCAGCAGCTGCACCTCCTGAGCTGACACCCTGTTCTCTTGGTGAAACTTCTGCTCTCTGGGTGCTACTTCAGAGCACTGACCCCAAAACCCTGTGCCAGGAGAGTGTCTTGAGCTCTTCCATGCGCTTCATGAAGGCTTCTCCCAAGCTGAGCTGCAAGGGCTGGGGCAGCAGGAGGTGGGGACCGGCCCCAGCAGCCCTGGTGGCACCTCTGGCACCACCAGCTGTGGAAGATGGGGATGAGGAAGAGCAGCCCATGGAGCTCTGGAGCCGCAGCCCAGGCGGGCTCCTCTCAGCAGCCCCTCCGCTGGCTCCCGCCTGCATTACTCAGCCTTGCAGTTTTACTGCTCTCAGCCATGTGGCAGGAATTCAAGCGGGTGGAGCCCTCTTCCCTCTGGAAATATCTGATAAAAACCCCTTCCCTCCCCCTTTTCCTTCTCCCAGGCAGGATGTGGGTGTGGGGCCACAGGCAGGCAGTGGGCAGGGGGCTGTGGGGATCCCCTGAGCCCCCCACTCCAAACCCCTGCTGCTGGGCCAAGGGGCTGGTGCTGCTCCAGAGCCTGGAACCTGCCTGGGGACTGAGGTTGCTCCTGGCTTGAGCAGTTACGACGTGCAGCCCTCTGAAGGATGTTAAACTCAAGTGGCTGTGAGTTTTAAAGCCCCTTTTGCTTCCCTGATATTTAGAGCTTTTCTATGTAAAACGAAAGAAAGGATTATTTAAAATACAATAGATCTTACAAACAAACAAGTTTGGCAGAGAAGGAGTAAAAAAAGATATAAAACAGATAAAAAAAATGTTGTAAAGAGAAAAAAAAGTTTGTATCAGGTATGAATAGAATTTCTGTCTTTTCCATGTAAGTTCTGGGAGAAGCACCGGGAACTTGGCACCTGGTCCATCCACACTTGTAGAAGCCCTGCCCCTGGCCCAGCCTGGCACATTTATCTTTCACCCTTAACACACGTGGGTTTAGGTGAAGCTGCCCTGGGGCAGGTGGAGGCTGCTGGTCCCACACGTGGCAGCACTGCCAGGAACCAACCTGAGCAGAAAAGCCCCAGAACTGCAGTTTCCATTGGGAATTGCACAACAGAGACCTTTGCTTGGACTCCCCAAAGAGGTGAAGAGCATGTAGAACACCACGGTGAGCTCCCGGCTTGCACAGCAGCTACACTGAACAGAAATGACCCTCCCAAGCTTTCCAGCAAGTGCTAATAAAGCCCTGTAAGATCCTGCAGGAATGGGAGTGTTGGCTGTGCTGGCAGAAGAAGTGACATTTTGCAGCATCAAACCCCTGTCACTTGGTACTTTGTCTTTACAAAGGCAAAGCTTTTTATCACTTTTACTTTGTACTACAAGGAACTCGGGTTTCCCATTTCAGGTAAACACTTTTGTCTTACACCCTTGCTGCTCCCCTCAGCCCAACCAGCCAGTCCTGAATTTTACTTGAGAAGCTTTTGCTTTTTTCCTTCCTGTAAAATTAACATAGACTGGAAGGTTGGGCACAATGGCTGGGGTGAGCAATGTACCTCAGCAGCAAAGGGAACATGAAAGAAACACCGTGAAGCAGCAGAACAAAATACAGCAAATTCTTTCAGTGGATCTAGTCGCTCACATTCATGTGAATAAGGAAAAATTACATTTGAAGTGACACCCACAGCTCCCTGGCTCCTGTCCCAGCACACTCTGTAGCACACCAAGGGATGCTTCACTTCTTTTTTAGCTCCTTTTTATTACTTATGGTTGTTTGGTTTGGAACAGAAATGATAATATTTTCTTACAATATATCCCTTAAAAATACTACCTAGAGAAAACCTCTGTATTGTTAATTCACTTTTTCATATGATGAATTTTTGCAGAGCTGGAATTGGAGGTTTTCGTATTCATTAGATTTTCAGAAAATGAGTAGTTCCTACCACAAAACAAAAGTCAGGCTAATTTCCACCAGGACAGGCTGAGGAACAGCTTGAACTGTGGCTGCACTGGGCAGCTTTGCAGGCATCCCCCTGTGCTCCTGCAATATTGCAGGGAGCTGGTCCATCCCCTTGCTCTCCTGTCCAAACCAGCAGTGGTTTCTGTCAGCAGCACATGGCTGAGGGTGTTGGCTGCTCTGGGAAGTGTCACTGCTCTCTGGGAAACTGCAGCTCCCACGAAAAGCTCATTAAAACACATCCCCCCCATCTGCTGGTTCAGAAGTTAGAAAGAAGTTGCCCCACGCTCCCCATCTCAGTGCTGGTAACCCTGGTGTTTGCTGCAGCTGATACTCACCAGACAGCTCCACGACACAGATGGCAATCCAGAAGAGCTGCCTCCACTGCA